GAGCCAGGCTGCCCATTTCCCTGCTGAGGGTTGTCTCCGGCAGCTCATCCTCCCTCCTCAGGACAGGCATTCAGGGGACACACCGTCAAGTAGGGGGCACTGCTATTTCTTTCATGTCTCTACAATCTACAGAAAAAATTTCAGAATAAATTTTAGGCCAGGCAATGGTGGTACACTCCTTCAATACAGCACTTGAGAGGCAGAGGCAGGAGGATCTCTGAGTTCCAGGCCAGCCTGGTCTACAGAGCAAGTTCCAGGACAGCCAGAGCTACATAGAGAAACTGTGTCTTAAGAAAAAAAAATAATGAAAACAAATTTTAGGTTTTTCAGTTCCAGAAAGATTTAATTATTTGTAATTGTTTTTTATATTAACTTTTCTTTTTTGATTTCTAAGATGTCTTTGTATATTAAGAGTATGAACATGTGTTCTCACACTGAAAATTTCCTTCGATGTTTTTGTTGAGCTGGGCGGTGGTGGCGCACGCCTTTAATCCCAGCACTTGGGAGGCAGAGGCAGGTGGATCTCTGTGAGTTTGAGGCGGGGCTGGACCGATAGCCTCCAAAACAATACAGAGAAACCCTGTCTCGTAAAAAAAAAATCATGTTTTTGTTGTCAATTAGCCCAGTGACAGCAACTTTTGGTTTGCTGATGCATTTGTTTTGACCATGAATAAGTTTTTAATTGAATTAAAGTTAATTAAAATTGGTTAGTATCTTACAGCTTTTCCTTATATAAGATGTTTAAACATTTTTCTCTATTCCAAGGCTATAGAATGTTCGTGTGTGTGTGTGTGTGTGTGTGTGTGTGTGTGTATGTGTGTGTGTACATTAGGAAGGGTCCTTAAAGGTCAAAATCAAAAGAAAATTATATATATATATATGTATATATATACACACACACACATATATATATGCATTTTACTGACTTGGCTTCCACATGGGGTTGGACGGATCAACAATGGCTGTCTTGATGCTAAAGACAGAGAACCAAGCTCTCAAACCAGGATGCTCAGGACATGTTTGAGAGACCCTGGCCCCAGAAAACCCCTGATTCCAGCCCCTACACAGCCTGGATGGCTCAGCTCTAAGCCCCAAACCAGTGAAAGAAACACACCCTGGATTTGGGACCCAAGCTAGTGAAAGGGACGCTTTATCTCTGAACCTAGAGTCAGGGAAAAACACCCTAACTCTAAAACTAGTGCCAAAAGAACACACTTGGCCCCTAGATTTGGGGCATGTAAAACAAATTTTCCCAGACCCTAGAAATCGGGTTCTGGACTTCGGGTTTAACAATGTTGAAAGCCTGGATGCACACAGAAGAGTCATGGTGTTGAGTCCACAATGGAAGGCTGGAGAAGCTGGAGTCTGGTGTGTGAAAGGACTTTTGCTGTCACAGACATTCTTGCTCAGAAAAGAAAGGTAGCTCCTATGCTCTCTCTCAGCCTTTGTTTTCTTCTGAGTTGTTTACTAGAAGTTTCCACCCACCTTGGGAGTGGGGTGGTTACCCTCCCAGTCACTGCCCCACGTGGTGACCCTCACTAATCCTGGGCATGTCTCAGTTAGTCCAGTTGACCATCAAGACTGTGCCTTCCGGGACTCATGTGTCTCCAAGAATACACAGATGCATTCATGAAGACATCCATGCCCCTGCAAGGGCTCATCTTCTGATGAGTGTGAGTAGACTCTTGAGTAAGTCTTCTGTTCTCTACAAGCCTAAAGTGCCACCTTCAGCGCTGAATGGCGCAGGCAGGTTCAACATTATTAGACTTTTGATTTTTAATTCAACTAAGCAAAACAAAGCAAAAGGCTCAAATTAAATTATTAGCTCTACTTTTCATAATAACAGACTTGAATTGGTAATTCAAGTATCTTAACGCTGATACGTAAGCTAATTAAAAAGTGCAGTAAATTGGATTCAGTAGCAGCTTGGAAATCATATTTAAATGAACTGGTAAGAACCCTGCTTGCTGCTCGGCACACAGCAGGGGCTGGAGCTCAGATGGGCAGGCCTCCACCTGGCCCCAGAGGACATCCTGATCCCTGAACCCAGCAGCCGAGAAGCATAGCATGAAGACAGCTGTGACAAGGACTCCAGTGGTCGCTATCGACGAAAGACTTTCTAGGATCATGCTCTGTCCTAGAGACGCATCTCGGGAACTGAAAGGGCCTGTGTGGACAATATGGATACATTGTAACAGTAATGAGGGGGACCGACTCTTTTACAAGACAGCTTTCCCACAGCGTGATTCTGGAGTTTCAAGAAGCACGGTTTCAAAAGCAGGGTATCTGCAGCTTTCTTGGAGGGGATTTTCTCAAAAGAAGAACTGATAACTGACAACTAGAGGCACAGTCTGCCTCTACTCCCCCCTCCACCGGGCTAGGCAGCCTTAACAGCCTGCTGATGCATTCTAGTTTATGGGATTGCACAGTGATGCAGGGAGTGCCTAAAGTGCCCAGGAGTGCAGCAGGTTAAAATGATGACAAGACTTAAGGCCCTTCCCCAGCTCACTGCCAAGTTCATCTCTCACCACCACATCTGCTTTCTGTCTTTTTAAATCGAAATATTTTTTTTTTTCATTTTACGTACCAACCCCAGTTCCTTCTCCTTCCTCTTCTTCTGAACCCCACCTTCCTTCCATCCCATCCCCATCTACCCCTCAGAGAGGTAAGGCCCCCCTTGGGGAGTCAACAAAGTCTGGCATATAAGGTTGAGGCAGGACCAAGCTCTTCCCCGCTGTATGAGGGCTGAGCAGGGCATCCCACCATAGGGAATGGGCACCAAAAAGCCAGTTCATACACTGGGACTACTGCCAGAACCCCCTCCCCGCCCGCCCCCCCACCAGCAGATCAAGTCACACAACTGTCACCCACATTCAGAGGGCCTAGTTTGGTTCCACGCACATTCCCTAGCCACATTTGCTTCCCGAAACACTGCCAAAGGTAAGCAAATTGTTTGTGCATAGAGGAAAACAGACGCTCACAGAGATGAGCGAATTCGCGTGTCCGTTTTCAGCCTCTGAATCACTCTGTATCTAGGAAGTGTCTGTCAGTCACTCCTGCTGGGAAATTCTACGGCGTGAAAAGGAAACAATCAATAATAAGGGGCCTGTCAGAGCCAGTTATTTACAATTATACTTTGAATGCATTTTTAGAATAATCAATTTCATTTGAAACGGTCTCCAAATCTAAATAAACTCTAGAATAAAGATGGTCTATTTATGCAGCTTATTAGAAAATGAAAGCTTTGGTTAACTTAAGTGGTTTCCACGGCTGGTCTCAGTGCAGCCCAGAGAACTCTTCTTCATGCCAGTGGCTTCTGCCCCCAGCCCTGTTGGACCTGCAGGTAACATGAGGAATGGGGTTAGTTCAAATTACACTACTCTGTCAGTGGGGAACCTGCATGGGACCGAACTAAAACCTCTGAATGTGGGTGACAGTTATGTGGCTTGATCTGTTGGGGGGGAGGGGCTGGCAGTAGCACTAGGACCTACCCCAGGTACATGAACTGGGTTTTAGAGCCCACTCCCTATGGTGGGATACCTTGCTCAGGGGAAGGGCGTTGGTCCCGCCTCAATTTGGTATGTCAGACTCTGTTGACTCTCCAAGGAAGGCCTTACTGCCTCTGAGGAGTGGATAGGGGGTGGGAAGCAGGGAGGTGAGGAGGCGGAAGGAGGGGAGGGGAACTGAGGTCAGTATGCAAAATGAAAAATAAAATTTTTAAATAAAAAAATTGCACTACGCACCTCTCTGTTCTTCAAAAAAGATGTTTGCTCACACGGGCTGCCCATGGCTCGCCCAATAAGATTCTGCGGCAATTCAATTTTTGAATTTTCATTCTGTAAGCTAATGCTCATGAGTTATTGGGTTTAATGGGAGAAATTACGGTAGTGCTGCCTTGTTATAGTGAGTACCAGGTTAGTGGAGGATCCACTGGGCGACTCCTCTGATTAGAGATTGGTGTTTTACTGCATATACATCACAGGGAGGAACTGTAAGAATGCACAGAGCACTGAGCGGCTTGTCACCTGCTGCTGTCCACTTACACAGGACAGGCATCTCCAAACGGGAAGCGAGGAGGCACCAGGTGGTTCTTAGCTTTTTACAACCAGACTCCCTGACATATTGGACATGCCATCAGGGAGACTGCTGAGAGCAACTGCCTTTTGCATAGTTCAATAGCTAATTTCCCAAGTGAGTTTTAGCTGTTTATATTTCAGAAGTTAAGCTTATCAATGGTTTGCCTTTGAACAAATACACAAAGTCTATTGATCTTATGTCTGTGAAAACAAGCCATGTCCTTCACCTTTACAAAAATCTACTATGAAGTTAAGAGTCCACCAAAAAGCCCCTGTTGAGATATTTCCTCACAGACATTCACACAGTCACACTGCCATTTGAGTGGAAGCATGTACCTCTTAATGCAAATGTTGGAGTGATGTGCATGGTCCTGACGCACACTGGAGGCTTCAAATCAGACACAGGGTCATCCTTCAGACATAGAGAGTTTCAGGACAACCTGGGCCACATGAGATCCTACCTCAATCACCCCATCCCCTCAAAAACCAAACTAAAACCTAAGCACACACAGAGCTTGCCCAAGCATATTTTCACAATTATGAAATAAACAGCTAAAGTCGGATTGGTCATCCAACTGGTTACCCAATACCAAATGATCAGCACTTAAGACACATACACATACAGACAACGTTCTATGGGCTGAGCAGGTTGTACTTATGAAACAGCGAAAAAAGAGGACACAAATTCCATAGACAGTAAGGAGAGGAGTGTATGGGAGGGTCTGGAGAGAGAAAAGGAGAACAGGATATAATTACATTGTAATACTGCCCAGTAAAATAGCAATGTGACAAAAAGAATGAGGAAATGGAACCCATAGGGTCTAACGCTGTCAACTTAAATTGAAAGGGGAGATAGCTCACCCAAGGCTAACTAGCTGTGGGGAGGGAAAGAAAAGGTCAGGAGAGAGAAGACATCTTTCTTACGTTTGGTGGTCTCCAAGTGGTCTTTGTACAATGGACTTCAGCAGGGGCTCTGGCCGGAGGGTCACCTTTGGAGATGTTTTGGGGCTGGAGTCTGACTCTCCACTCTCCTCATCACCCATGGCTTTGATGTAGCTGCCACTTCTCATCCTACGGCAGGGTATCTCTTCCTCTTTGCCACCTGTGGGGTACGCACCCCAGTCATCCTGAGGCACCTGGGAGAGAGCAGAGACAACACATGTCAACGATCGCCTGAGAAGTGTGTCCTACAGTTTCTTGAAGATGTAGCCCTTTGGCTATTTATCATCTTAAGTCACGCACACGTGAAGATCTGCTTTCTCACAGTCTTCCAAAGGGTCTTAATATACAATCATTGATTTTCTTCCCATTGTAAAAGTAAAAGATAAACACTGTGGAGAAAGTGAGAAGGTACTAGGAATGTAGGAAAAAGGAAAAGGAGAAACGGAAGAGGATATGATGGTGATATCTACATTATTGCAGTGGTAAGTATTTAATAAAGAAGAATTAACCCCCAAAGCCCGATTACATCACATACACAGAACACATGTACTGTCCAATGAAGAAAGACATCCATGGATCTTATGTACATCACATACACAGAACACATGTACTGGCAGATGAAGAAAGACATCCATGGAGCTAATGTATGCAGAGTGTCATGTCCCTGCACACTGTGAATTCCAACAACTCTAAGGATGCTAACTTAAAGCCTGGCGTTGGTGGCGCACGCCTTTAATCCCAGAACTCGGGAGGCAGAGACAGGCGGATCTCTGTGAGTTCGAGGCCAGCCTGGTCTACAGAGGGAGTTCCAGGACAGCCTCCAAAACAATTCAGAGAAACCCTGTCTCGAAAAAAAAAAAAGAATGCTAACTTAAAACCTTTGTGTTGTGTCCCTGGCCTAAAGGAAGACCTGGTCATTAGATGATAAAACTGATCAGCATTCTGGTTCCACACCCGCAACTCAACAGTTGCCTTTGTCCAGTAAGCTAAATCTCATAGGAATGAACATGATGTTTCTCAGAACAGCAGCCTACCTCCTCAACTCCGTGCAGCTCCTTGGCAAGGCATGTGGTCCAGTCTGGACAATTCTGCCAGTAGCTCCAAAGACTAGTAAAGGGCAACCCTGGCTGGAGAAAAGGGTCTCAGATCCTAGTGATGGAGGCAAATGATAAAACTCCACACTTAACATGTCTTCAAAGTGGTGCTTTCACTGTGAAATGTTTAGATTTTCAGTAATGTTCTGAATTGGCCTGAGAAGGAGCCTGTTTTCCTTCCAGCCCCAACAGCGCGTGACGCCAAGCACTCTGGCCCTCCTAACAGGGACCCATATGGCTGATGGGAGGGCAGGCTCTTCAGCAAAAGGCACCAGAGTTGCTCCCTGAATAGCATGGTGTTGTGCCTGTAGATCTGATCACTGTGAAGACTGTTCCTACAGCTAGTTCCCACACCCAGAGTCATGAAGGAAGGAGGCTGCCGTCCATGTGCTTGCCCACAGATGCTACATCTCGGGGAACGTTGATGTAGGCTACAGGTCTGTACGGGGTCCAGACCTAAGGGGGGGCCATGATATCTCCCCTGTTGTAGTCAGGAGCTCCTCTGCATTCTCCCATTCTGCACCTCAGGCTGGTCAGGCAGATCTTATATTCACCACTAATTCTGCGTGGTAAGGTGTATCATGACACTCACAAGGTCTAAGACAGAATGATTCGGTTGACTCTCCCTGATTAGACATGGGCACACTCTGAAGCCAGACTCGACAGTGTTAGGTGTAGATCTTGGATCAAGGAGAGGGTTTAACAGACAGAAGGTTATGGGCTCCCTACACCCCTGAGCTGGGGTAGGTGCTGCTGCTAATAGGTTGAGATCTTTAACATTTTAATGACTTGGTTCTCTGCACAGGTCTGAGGAAGAATGCAGAGCATCCTAAGAGGGCTTGGTGAAATTTTAATGGCCACGTCAAAGCACAAGCCACACGGATTACACGTTAGAGCAGCTGAAGTTTTAGGCAGACTGACATGGAAGCCAGTGACACAGAGGGTTTTTGTTCAGCATGTAATAGATATCGACCCACCCATGGAGAATCTCAGTTTATAGGGAGATATTATGTCTTGACAGTGACTATGCTTGAACACTGGGAAAATGACATCGGATGAAGAGTTGATTACTGGGGCACCTGAAAGCTCTGCTCTGGTACTTACTCGAAGCCTCTTCAGTAACTGCACACTGGAAATCCAGGCAGAGGAATGCCATCTCCGTGACACTAACCAGAAGAACAGGATGCTCATACCATGGCCAGTGCCCCAGGATGTTCATACCAGGACCAGTGTCCCAGGATGTTCACACCAGGACCAGTGCCCCTGTTTCTCTGCCAGCCCATTCAGACTCTGTGTAAACGTTGTGAGTCAGTCACCAGGAAAAAAAAAAAAGGAGCCAGGATGGAGTCTGTCCTCAGGAATGGTACACATAAACTCTATTTGAATTTTGGAAGAATCTGCCCTGACCTGTGGAAGACGGTTATGAAGGTGTCACGGTCTGTTTCATGGACTATCCCCGAGTGTCACAGATACAGTAGATTACAAGGAAGTTGATTTAATTTGTAGTTCTGGAGGCTTAGAAGTTCAAAAACACGATGCTGATATCTGTTCAGTCTCTGGTGAGCGCCTTTTGTGAGACAGGGCAGGCAAGCTTCTGCACCCACTCTAGACACTAATTACATCATGCGTGTCCTATCACCATGGCCACACCCAGGACAACTCATCGCCCCCAAGGGGTACCTCTCAATACCATCAGCATGAGAATTTGAGGACTCACTTTCCAACACATGAACTCTCAGGGTTATATTCAAACCACGGCAGGGGAAACGCACAGGAAGCTGACAGCCTTGCCTGGTGGTCAGGAGCATGGCAGGTGTCAACAATAGTAAAGGGGGATCGGGACTTCTCAGTGACCTCCCCATCTATTCACATTTTCTAAGTGTGCCAAGCTTTTCTAAAGCTGCATGTCAGTTTCCTCTGAGTCCTCAATGCCACAACATTACAGAGAGGGTGATGTACTTTGAGGGTGATAAATTACAGTGTGATGAGGCCACAAGGAGGTTAGGGTGACAGTTCCAGGAAAGCTGGGGACTGGTGGCCACTAAAGTGGGGACACTCTGTCTGAATTTGGCCAGAGGAATGGTGTAGGCAGAAGAAGCAGCATAAATAGAGACTGGTGGCCAGTCCCCGGGCTGGACCAGGGAAGCTTGCATCCTTCATCAACCAGTGAGCATCCAGGATGGATGGGGGAAGAGGTCAGCTGCTACCAACAGACAGGCTCACACTGTCAGGTTTATGGAGAGTTGGTTTTTGTTTTTGTTTTGTTTTGTTTTGAACCAAAAATCCTGTTTTCATAAAGAGCAAGGTAAAGATTGTTTTTTCTTTTCTTTTCAGCAGCCTACAAATTAACTAACAAATGAGGCCAGCTTGCATGTTTCTGTTTCTGATTTAAGAAGCCAATTTCACAGCCTCTGACAGAAAAAATTCAATACAGAAGGGGTGTAACACAGTCGATTTCCAGAGCATATGCCTGGGCTATGAAAAGCCACCAAGTCTCAGTAAATAGACCTTCCCCTTATGGCGGAAACGTTGAAAACCTGCAGCAGAACACAGAGGACTGGCCAAGTGTGCACCTGGCCCTTGCATGTGGCAGCTTCACTGCCTCGGGGAAACCAGCTTGAGGCAACCCAACCTCTGCAGAGCCAAGCCTTCGCTACGCCAAGGCGATCAGCTACCCTAATGGTCACCAGCATGCAGTGGTGAAAGCATTTATCCTAGATATCAAGGGGGCATTCTCCTGAGATTGGCATCTGCGTGTGTTGTGATGCTGTATTCAAAGCATGTCTTAACGCCACACACGAAAACATCATTTCTGTCTTTCAAGTGGCGAGGCACAGGATTTTATAATAGGGTTCTTTTTAGGTGAACTAAAGAGAAATGCCATCCAAAGCTGTGTTCTCCCTCAGGACACATCTTCCTCATTCCGTCAGCAACGTGTGTGTGTGTGTGTGTGTGTGTGTGTGTTTTAAACAGGCATCAAGTACACGAGCCACCGGGGAGAGTGACAGAGCAAGACAGCTGGGTCCTGCATGCTGTGAGCAGGGGACAGATGGATGACAAGGGACCTAAGTAAAGCATCCCACGGAGTTACCAGTCGCTGTGGAGACCCATCTGGGGAAATTCAACTCACGCGGGGAGTTCTTTCATGTACCCTGGGGTCCAACGATGCTTGTTATAAGGGGGGCCATGGACAGCCTACCCAAGGAGCGACTGCCTATATCCTGCACAAACCCGAGTCAGCTCTCCTTTGAGAGAACTAGGCTGTGTGTGAAAATCAGGCTTTTTGTTCTAGCCGGCGATTTTAATGAGCGATGGATTTTATTTTTCTAGAACATAACCACCGTGTAAATCAGGGAGAGGGAGAACGTTTGCTCGGTTGGCAATTTACCAGGAATTGTTTACCATTTCCAAATCCCCTAGGGCTGGCAGAGCCTTGCTGGAGCCTGAGTTGTCATTACAATACTCCTCTGTTGGTCTAATTTGTAGCTCTCCAATTACTGCGACCCTTCACTCAGAAACAAACATGGGAACACTTCACTCTGCACAAATTCGCTATGCCCCAACATTCTTATGTTAAAATACTTCCACTTAAAAGTTACTTTACTTCTATGTCTTTGTACATTGGAGAGCTGGCCATGCACACATATTCTCTCTCTCCTTCCTTGCCCTATCTAGGCGCCCCCTCCACTCAACAATGTATATCTAAACAGGTTACCCGAGTTTCATTTTGGAATACTCAGATGTTTGAATGCCTGGTAAGTTTATGAAGAATTATATGCAGAGTAGGAGAGTAAAGTGTGTGTAGCTGGTATTGGCTGTCAACTTGACACAGTCTAGCATCACCCAAAAGGGCGGTCTTGAGCAATTGTTTTAATTGGGTTGTCATGTGGGCGTGCTTATGAAGAATTGCTAATTAATGTAGAAACGTTTAGCCTACTGTGGGTAATACCATTGCTTGGGCAGGTAGTTCTAGGCTGTATAAGGAAGGTAGCTAAGCACAAACTAAAGCAAGCAACCAAGCAGGCAACATTCCTCCATGGTTTCTTCAGCACTTCCTTGGCTGTGAGTGAGTTCCTTGGTTGGAGAGAATATTGCATAGA